ACAACGACAACGAAGATCTGTACTAACCTCGCGTCAGCTTAAGAAGATCAGTTTATAAGATCACATAAATAAATATATCTTTATAGTAATTATGAAAGCATGGCTTACTGTATGTAAATAGTCGCGTGGCTCAATTGTACCCATGTCTACGAATGATAGTCTAGTGAAGGTGTGGGAGCTTTTCTTGTATATCGAAGAACTTAGTCCTTTTCTTGTTTCTACTAGGAGATTGGAATTTGTTTCAAATCTTTATGGAGCTTTTAAAACTTTTCCTTAAATTAAAGTTTGACGAAAACTACCCTAACTTTTGCTGTCTTAGCAATTTAATGGCTCATCAGATGGTACTACTGTATTTCTTTTCGTTGATTTAAATTGATTGAGAGACATTGCGTTATTTTTCGAAGGGAACTTTGTGTCCCTGTCACACCTTAGAAATTTATTTATTTTTCACGAGTTCTAAGTCTTTAGCGTTTTTACGTTTTTTTTTCAAATCTTTTTTTCTGAACAAGATGAAGGTAGGATTAATCCGCTAGGTATGAAGGCAATCTGGGGAAAGTTTGCCGGAAATTTTGCCCAATAAGGCACTTACTTGGATATTTGGAAGGTCTGTCTTCACTGGTTGTACGGGCACCGACATAGTTTCGACTTCTTGGAGATTTGCTGCCTTAGCAGTTATGGTTCCCTGGAGTCCTGAGGACACCCAGACCAAGGTCTGCCTCAGGTCGGTATCACCACAAACAGTCACCGCTCTTGTGGATCAGAAGGAGATTTGCCACCATGCGACTAGTCTGGTGCCAGGACGGTGGTGGATCCTGATATTGGTTTACTCTTAGCTAAGTTTCCTAGGTATGAATCTCCCCGTTGTACATCGCAGCCTCGGACAGGTACACCCGCCGCCCACGGTGAGACGGTAAACTGTTGGAAGGGTTGAATAAGGCATATGAGAACAATTTAGTTACTCTTTTTTAGCTTTTTCTTACTCGTACCTCATTTTCATTTCTTTCTACTTCGTTCAGAACTTCATTTGCCAGTCATGTAGAGAACTTGTTGCGCTACAGTAACATTTTATTACCGGTTTATCGGAACTATCGCAGTTTTTTCCGCGGACCATGGAAGTGAAAACAACAGCCAAAATTTCTTGACAACGGCTTTGACTATGTAATTTGAGATCTCAGAGAGACCAATTTGAAACATATGGTGCCTTTTCATTTGCCGTTTTATTTGCAAAAGTTTGATTTATAAAATAACTATGGAAGCAATATTTGTTCCTTGTTTCATATTGCCATGTCGTCGGAAGAAGAATACTACGACGATCAGCCAGAGCAATACGAAAAAAGTGAAGTGGTAGCAGGTCAGTGGACTAAAAGAAGCATGAAAAGAGAGTGAAAGAGAGAGAGAGAGAGGCTGAAAGAGGAAGAGAAGGAGGAAAAGTCTCTCCGAAATAAGGGAATGCGGAAACAGTTCTATTCAGGTGACGATCAGTATGGTTACGACTACGAAGAAGAACCGCAAGCTTTTGGAGGTCAAGCTCATCCTCATCGATAGATCTCAAACTTTTTAATAGTCGTTATCCTTTATTTATCTCCATATTTTCTCTGTATTTACACAACTTTGCAGCCGATTACGCAAATAGAGGTGAATATGACCATGCCTATGGAGAAGCACAAGATTGTGAGGATAACCCCGAAACTGAGTCTCCATATGAAGACGAATGTGAAGCCGAGATGGACTCTCACGATGAACCAGAAGAAGAGAACGTTGAATTACAATCTGACGAAAGCGATGACCTTGTGGCAGTAAGTGTGATATCGTTCTTTTTAATCATATTAAAATGTAGTAGTGTCAATACTAGCGATAGTAGTACTATTGACAACGATCGAGTATTATTTGTAGTGCTTTTAATAATCAAAACAGTATTACAACCATCTCTTAAGGAAGCCAAGACGCTGTGTGACGGAGAATGACTGTTTTCCTATAAGGCGCTTTATTTCACTGATTTCGGCGAAAAGGTAGCCACGGATATCCTGTGGAATGTGATGGGTTAGGAATGCTCACGAATATAGCCATTCTTCTACTGCCTGCGAATATCCTTTCAGAATGCAGCTTTCAATCAAACCGTCTCCTACAGACCTTCCAGTCTTGATTTTATCCTTTTGCCGAATTTCGTTCAAGGAACTGTCCACTTGCATGCATACATATACGCGTATCATGCAGACGTCTGCCAACAACCGGGAACCATGGGTTGGGTCATTTTCTCAAAAGTTGAGATCCCGTCTGTCTAATGCACTGCCATCATCTCAGGGAAAACATATTAACGATTCTTACTTATTCTAACTCTCTAATAACTTTTTGGAGACGTTTCATCAACTTCCATTGCTAATGGACTCAATATTCCTCAGACAGAGAGAATACCTGCAATAATATCAGGAATATTAATATAATATTTGCTTAGATGCTTGTGTAACTTATCTTATCTTGCTAACTTTCATACGTGATTGCCAGCAATGGTGTATTGCATAGTCCTGATTGGAGGGTGCTTCAATGTTTCAAACTGTGGTGTACGAAGAGGACTAACTCTCTTCCAACGTCACATAGGGTAAAGATTGTGCGACATTTACATCCGTATCCATGACTACTAGTAAATACCACTTAGACAATTGAACTATCATTGCTTTCTTTTTACAAAAAAGGAAAGGTAGAGGACCTCGTACTACAATTCCTGGGCTTTGTTATATCCATTCAGCTCTAGAATGATACCTCAGTGTGTTAGAAAAAGGACTGGAAAAATTACTATTACGCGATGCAGTAACTTCGTAGCCGATGAGATTAAAGTTGGTTAGAACTTGATAGAGGCATCAAATAACAACGAAGCCATTGAGTAATGACTTAAACAACACTGAAAACAAAGCGGCGTCTGCTTATGAAGACAAATTGAGGAAGAAGGTATGATGAGCCATGCGGCAGACTCTGTTACTGACGCTGGAGGAACAGACAGTAGTGGTGGACTGGGCAGCGTTGTGCAAGGTACTCAGATTCTTAAAATACGCTCTTTCTTGTATCTTTTATGTTTCTAACATTAGTTTCTGCATTTTTTATGTTTTACATGATAAATGGAAAAAGTCTTGATAAAAAGAAAAGGATAAAGCCGTCAGCGTAGGCGTATCTCTGTGGGATGCATTCACCTCGATTCGTAACATTAATAGATGTGATTGAAGAAGCATCTGGGCTATACCGTGACTGGCGGTAGCATATCGATGTATTAAGTCAGTGGACCATTAGTATTATTATTTTATTATTTTATTTAGCACTATTGTTTAGTATTTTTTGGATTGGTATTCTTATTTTTGTCTTCGTAGATATTTCGTTTTACTCGTTCTGAAGCTTGAGCCAACTAATTTCTATCAATTAAAGTTCCCCTGAGGTAAGGTGCTAATCAGTTTTAGGTCAGCCGCTTTAAACTATTGATTAAATCTAATATTATATTAAAACTACCACTATCACTGTTGGTTGGAATTATGCTTTTGGACAGTGTTAAACATTGGATTTAAATATGACTGCGTCGTTTTCTTGTTCAGCAATCTCGAGGTTTTTAAACAGCATACATTTACTTCCATGGAAAAACACAATACAATACAACACTAGCTGACGCGTCGGCAGTATCGCCTTCTTCAGAGCCTGGAGGGGTATGCTGATATGCAATCTACTAGGCGAAACGCTTCAATAACACAAAAAGACGAAAAACTCTATGGTAATTACATGATCAACAACTTCATTGGAAGTCACGAAAAAACGGTGAGTTTTTCGAGTTGTTGATCATGTAATTACCAAAGAGTTTTTCGCCTTTTTGTAAGTGTCATTGAAGCGTTTGGCCTAGTAGATTGTATATCAGCATACCCTTGCAGGCTCTGAAGAAGGCAATACTGCCGAAACGTCTGCTAGCGTTGTATTGTATTGTGTTTTTCCAAGGAAGTAAATGTATGCTGTTTAAAAACCTCGAGATTGCTGAACAAGAAAACAACGCATTCATATTCCAATGCCGAGGTTAAGAGAAAGTCGATCCTGGGAACTATTAAATATGACTAATAATAAATATAGTATAGTATTTAGCAAGAGTGGTAGTCGGTTTACACTAAAATGGGGTAGGTAGTCAGTCGAAATCTAATCAGAACAACCAAGTTCGTCTTGATTCGATTCTTACATTTCCATTCTAATGACAAATATAATTTTTGTTGTATTTCACGCGACCCATCTTCACGTCTGCGGTGCGGATTCCAGAATTTCTCATATTCGATTCGTTTCCTCGCATCCACTGTCCACAATGATCTTCCAACTTTTACGCGTGGTTTCAGTTGCTGCTTGAGGATTTCCACTTCATCTTGAATGTCGTAGAATGCTGATCGAGCAATTCCGCCTGGAGTTCTGAGATAGCCGGTCTTGAGCGTTCCCGATTGAATTTGCAGAAAGTTTTTTTCCGACAAGTTCGGTACCAATTTCCGGTTCCTGGAGGCATGAGAGGCTAGGTAGGCCCAGAGCGGAGTGAAACTAGCACCATACTCGGGATGACGTACATCACTACCACTGTACTATCTGCCTCCTGACAACTATAATTATATTCCAAATTATGGTTATCCAGTTACTTATAACTATTGCAGCGTTTTAGTGCTTCATCACCAACAGTGAAATAAAGGTTTTAAATTACTTGATGGGATAACTATTTATTCCACGAGGAAAAGAACTAAAACTGGTGGTTTCGATGTAATCATGGAAACTAGTATTCTTCATTTTCGCAAAGACTTTACGTCGTCATTTGAAGGGTTACGAAAAAATTGGACCACTTCTTCGTAAATTTAAAAGCTGCAAAGAATCGGTTATGTAAAAGGTTTCGTTCTTACCGATAATGTTGTATGTAAAAAATAGAACGGAAATGAAACTGAATCTTAGTTTCCTCTTAAATTTGAAGGCTTTCTTCTTTTGCAAACTTAACAGTTAGGACTATCACTTCTAGGAGTGTTGGATGGTTTTGGAGGCACGAACCTTGGCGATATTGTTGGCTCGATTAGTCAAATAGCAGGCGGCGGTGGAGGTTAGTCCAAGTGGTTTTTCTTTTTGAAATAACCATTCATAGTAATTCGTTGATGGTTAAGAATTCTTCTACTTGATTTAAATCTTTGAATACTCTTGAATTTTCATGACCGACTTTTTATTGACCTCGGTAATGAATAATAATTAACTGTTTTTGTGAGAAACACGAGATCGTATTTGTGATGTTCATTTATCCAGAAAAGATGACGTTTCGGCCGTCTCGCCTTGTTCACGACCGGAAAAGGCCAAGTTAACTGCAACCTAATCACTCAAACACTTCCTTAGTCTCTACAGAAAATCGGGATACCTAGACTTCAATCGCGTTGGGTATGAAACAGAGTCTTCACATTTTCACCGGTCCCTTTGCGTCGTCCATTGAGTATTCTACACGGAAGCGAACCGAGCAGAGGTCGCATGGATGGGTAATGCTCAGTCTGAGATATTGTGTGAGATCTCGAGTGATAGTGAAGTATTCATCTATTCGGTTCATTTATTGATTCTTAAAATTTGTTCGGAATGTTCCAAAGGTTTTACGCGTTGAAGTTCTCGATTCTTGTATGAGGATAGTGACTTTTGCTTAAAATCCTCTCCGTTATGCTTTCGTGTCCTATGCACTCCTGGTGGGTGCTCTGTTTGAATAAAAGGAGATTTTCCAAGTAAGTGCTCTTTTACACGGATAAAGGGTGGCTTACCAGTCTGCAGGCTTTGCAAGAATCCGAGTAAATCTTATGCGAACACTCACAATCATCATATTTCCCCTTAGGACAAATTATGCATTTTGGCCTTGTAATACAGTCTGTTACAAACTAGCTGGCGTCTTGGACTGGTCGGTGGTATTTCAATCACTGCTATCGAGAATTCTAGACCAGCCCATCTTCAGCAACGTTTCATGGTTGTTTCTACTTCGTTGGAAATGAAGGTGGTAAAATGATAAAAGAGACCATGTATTCGCCTAATTTATCGTTTATGGCGTCGTTTCTCCTTTAAATCTTTTCCACCAGGGTTTGCTAGCCATTCAAAACGGCTATTTGCCGTGTAATTTTTCCGGATTCTTTCTTCTGCTCTTTTCCCGTGCGCGCTGTGGTGGCTGTTAGGAATATATTTTTCACAAGCGCCTTTTTTGTGTATGAAAGAGGAGAGGAGCAATAATAAACCAATATGTTTTTGTTGGCTTATCTTTTTATCTTTCGTTTGATTTTGTTTTTTTTTTCTGGGGCCTTGGTATTCATGGCTATATCGCGATTTCAATTTTTGTTAAAACTATCTCGTTTTTGTCTTTCTTAATATTGCGTGATAACGCTTTCATGGCCTCGGCTTACCTTTAGTCCAACAGCCTTCCAAGTTCATCTATTTCATTTTTCGTATTTCGTTGTGTGAATTTGATTTTTAAAATCCTTCCAAAGAGGTTCTATCCATTTTCATATTTCGTTGTTTTATTTGTTCGCTTCACTATATTTTCTACTTTTGACATTTTCTGTGCTATTATCAAAGGCAACGACGGGCCTCCCAATGGTTTACCGCCTCATCGTGGCTGGGAGGTGTTCCTGGCTATCGGGTTGCGATGTACAGCGCGGAGGGTTTCTCTTTAGCAGGTCCCCCAAGCTGAGAAGGAGTCTGGCGTTTCCATCAGGAAGCCTAGCTAAGAGTGAACCAATGCCATGATCCACCACCATCCTAATATCAAATTAGTCGCAGGGTGCCAAATTTTCCCCTGATCCACAAGGGCTACGAGTGCCTATGGTAGTGACGACCTGTGGCTTTGGCCAGACAGACCGCGGGATTGCAGAGAACCACAAAGGCTAGACCAGGAAATCTCCTAAAAATGGGGATTACGCTGGGGCCCGCACAACCAGTGAGGATGGACGATCCAAGTATCCAAGTAAGTATTATCAAAGGCTACGTAGTGTATTTCATTCATCTATGTCTATTTTACTGGATATTTTACGTAGTTATTTTCAATTGTACTGGACAGGAAAATGCTCATTTGGGTCACAGGTCCTAATTTCCTCAATTCTCTTGAAATTATATTAGCTTTTTTATTTTTTAGAGGAATTTTTCATCTAGCAAATATATCACTTAATAAGATTCGCTTCAGTAAAGCGTTTTAAGTGTAACACGAATAAGGAAGGTAGTCACTGGTCAGCCACTGTAGAGCATCGACTACGATCATCGGCTCTGATAATGGCGAAGACGTCGAAACGTTAATCGAGTAAATCTCTTTATTAACTTCGTGTTAGCCTAACAATCCAAGAAGGTATTAATTATTACTACCGAGTTTAATGACAGTCGGTTTGAGAATTACCGAAAACAGTGTTTTCTTCGAATAATTATGTTCTGTTTTAACACTAAGGTCTCACCAACCTGATGTCGTCCGGTGGAATGGAAACAATGGTCCAGAAGATGCTTGGAGAGGCTGCTCACCGATTTCTTGGCATCAATCCGGTTAGTTCTATCCGTTAGACATTTTCCCAGGCTTTATATTTCGTTTATATAAATCCTTATTCATTTTCTTGCAAAACTAATTATTTAGGAAACTGGAGCGATCATTGGCGCCATAGCTGGCAATTTAATTTTTAATATGGGCGGACGTGGAAATTCCTTAACAAGCATTGGAAAAGTGATTCTGGACAACATTATTAGTGGGAAGTATAAACGAGATGTAGGGGCTTATGTTTTTCTAAATTTTTCATTGCAATATTTTTTCTGCTTTTGTTGAAGACCTGCTGCTTTATTCCTTCATGTGGAATAAAATCTGAAGTTAAATGGTTTGGCTTATATTGGAATCTGATGATAAGGAAGCTTCAAAACGAAGGAATAAAGACTGCAAAGAAATTTCGGAACAAAAGACGTTTGTGGTCTTTTGAGTTGGATACAATGCACGGCGTCCAAAAATATTATTCATTCTTTTAACTTTAAGCAGACATTCAGCTCAGAACTCGGTTTATAAATTCAGTTGAGAACCACTTAACTCCACCTCTGTTATCCAGTAAGGATCAGTCTATGACGGTAGATTTTCGACACAGTGTATTCCTTTTTTTCGTTTTTGCTTTTTCTTCCCGCAAGACTTGTATTTCGAGCAATGAAGCGATTGAACAACTTGAATTTTCTTCTGCATGGCTATACGGTACGCTTGAAAGCGTAAAACTTTTAAGCAGTTCGATTTTTTCTGCTGTATTAGTGTCATTTAAACAACCTCCCAGCCACGTTGAGGCGCTAAACCGTTACGAGGAGTGCCTTCTGTACGCTTTTCAAATCATCATGTTCCCACGTTCTTTAGTTATCGAAAATTATCCGTGATTATCGAAAAAATAGTACGGTCAGAAATTTGTTTGAAAGTGTTAGAGAAAGAATTGAGTAATTTTTATATGAAAAACGGGTAGTAAGCCATGCCAATCTGTCAAAACATAGTTTTTTTTTTTAACACATAGTGTTCCTTCCTATTTTTAGTGTTTTCACATTGTCTAAGTCGATACGTATTCATAGTAAAACCTGATTTTACTTTTTTTCTCCTTTTCATTTCGCTTCTACTGATTTTCCTTTCGGCTTCAGGTGCATCCGTTCGTACCACCGGTGCCGACGCCTGGTGCGACGACGTTCGGCTTGGACTTTTATGCAGAACGGGATCGCTGCTTAGCGAACAGGATTCTTTTTGAGGATCCGGAATTTCCAGCTTCTGATCGCAGTCTTTACTATAAAACACCACCACAGCAGCATGTCGAATGGAAAAGACCCGGAGTTTGTTTTAGCACTGATTTAATGCATTCATACAATTAATACTCACATAGAAAGCAGTACAAATCGTTTGGAAAGAAAGAATGCGTTGAACGCTCACATTTACGTTTATTTGCAGATTTTGATTTGAGCTTCTTCAAACTTTCATTGTTTTGGGGAGATGTTTTAAGGAAAGGAATCAGAGATTTTGCTTAAAAAATCAAGAAAATGGGGAATAAAACAATTTTAATGTGGTTACAGTAAACGTTTTTGAGACTTGAAATAGCAAAAAATAACTTGAACCATGAAAAAGAAAAGGCGCGTGTGGCGCAGTGATCGGAGGCGCCCTGCAACACACACGTGGAATCGATCCTCGCGCCCGTGGCCCACCAAGCCTTCCATCTTTCCGGGGTCCGCAAATTGGTACCAGACTTGTCTCAGAGGATAACAGCACTGGCTCGATACATCGGTAGGCCATCGTGAGTCATTGTAAAGGCCAGATGTGCATTCAATCACCTACAACGATACTTAATGAAGTCGAATGCATGGCGCATCCCTCAGAGATTGATCAACACCGAGACTTTATCCTTTTTATCCTTTTTGTGAAAACGAATTGTTTTTTACTGGTAAAGTTATTTGCTATCCTGAAGATAGACTTGTGTCATTATGGTTTCAAGAATTTGTTGTTGTTGTTGTTGTGTTTTCACTAATAACTTGATTTTTCATTGGTATTGCACGAATACTGAATCAACCACCAATTTACTAGACTCCTAGTCTTCTAGATCACTTTAGAATTAATATTGTTTTTTCCTCCAACTTGCAAAATACACATATCAACCGGTTTCCAGGTACAACCTATAATCCTATTGGTTGCAGCCGGTACTGGTATAATTCCCATTCGTCAACTGCTCTAGCAAGGGCTGCTAGAGGGGTCAACACTCTCAACGATACGAAAAGCAACCGACTTTTGTTATAATGTGGAAGTTCGAAGAACCAAATTGCAGTAATTGAAACAAATATTCTTATAGAAGAGACGTCTGATATTCAGGATATGCGTGGCTTGTCACTGTAAGCACGGTCTGGCTTATATGGGAGCTCTGTATAGACATTGACACAGTCTTACATAGATACTTGCACGGTCTGTCTTCACAAGCAGAATCGTCGTTCATGGTAGTGGTTCGATTCAAGCATAGCGGCGGCTACGAACTCATGCCGTGGTCTGCAAAACAACTGCGGTTGCGAGTACAGCTGATTAATCTTGGTTGCAAATACGTCCGCCCAACGCGTACCTGGTCGTCCTAGGGGACGTCTGCATCCTCGTCGAGTCCACTCTACAGTTTTTTTTTCGTTCATCTGTTAACTATTCTACTAGTTTTATGACCCACCCATCTATGTTTCAGTAGCGATTGTTCTCTGAGGTCTCGAGGATGAGATAGATATCAGAGCTTCCCATTTCGGCTAAGTATTGTTGTGCCCGGTTATGATTAAGAAAACACCGTTGTGAGCAGTGCGCAGTATTCTTGACGAAGTTGAAATATCAGCCCATGTATCTGCTGCATAACAGAGTTCTGAGAGGACTGTTGAATCGAAAAAGTGAGCGGGAATTTTCTAGTGTTTTAGTTTTTGTAGGCTTCTTTGAAAGGCCCGATTACGGTCCAAACTGCTCTCCTTCTGTCTAATTCCTCCTTAATGTTCGATCTTCAGTGAACGTCCAGTATACAGGCACGAGATAGTCTCTGAAATCAGAGAACCATCCGGTTTGATCTGATCGCATGCGCGCCATGGGTTTTTCATGAACTGGGTGTTGACATTGACACAGTCACAAGTTAAAAGTGTTATATGGTTAACGTTGTTCCTTATGTGCTAGTTCTCTAAAAGGCTTTTTTCAGGAGATCGTCGACAGTCCACAGCTGATCGTCGGCGAAAAGTCACGATTTGATGTGAAACAGGTAGCCTATAAGCTGCCATATTTCCTTTGATTTGAAATGCATTCTTATTTTGTTTTTTCTTTTAATTTAGGGAGCTTTGGGTGATTGTTGGTTGCTAGCTGCAGTGGCCAATTTGACTCTAAGAGATGAGTTATTCTATCGGGTTGTTCCACCGGATCAGAGCTTCACTGAAAATTATGCTGGTGATCTATACAACTTTTTATTTAACTCTTCTGAAACTTTAAATGATTTTGATGCAGCGCACGAATTGTACCGTTTCCAAGGAATTTGGTTTGGTGACTTTGATTTCTGATAGTCTACTCTTCTACAAAAATCTTCATTATTCACAAGAAACAATATGTTCTTGAAGCTTTATGTGAGAAGTGCTTTGTGATATACGAATGAAGGCACATAATTAACAAGTATTACAAATGCCCAGCAGCACACACATGGAATCGATCCACGTGCCCATGGCCCACCAAGCTTTCCATCCCTCCGGGTTCGGCAAATTGCTACAAGACTTGTCTGAGAGGAAAGCAGCACCGGCTCGATTCATCGGTAAACCACCACGAATCACTGTGGAGTCCAGATATGCATTTAATCATCTCTATCTGATGCTTAATGATGTCGAATGCACATCGCATCCCTCAGGGATTGATCAACGTCGCGAGCTTTATCTTTTGTTTTTTTAGCATAAATGCTTTCGCCTTCTTCAGAGCCAGAAAAAGTCAGTTTGACATGCAATCTACTCGGCCAGACACTTTCAGAACCTCAGCAGACAAACCTTAACACATAAATTTTCATTCGCATAGTAATAATTTCAACACTCACTGTTTGGTTTTTTGTAAGTACTTCAATTATTTGGTGGAAACCGGCCACACAGAATACTACATGGGCGAGGACTGTCTCTGGTTCAGGTCAGGGAATCGGCCTGAGTTATGGCGATAGGTCATACGTAATCGCAATACACTCCCCTTTAGGTTCATTTTTGCAGAACGCTTCAAGAATTTTACAAGCAGATGTCTTGGACTCCTGTGCGAGGATAATGGCTTTTACTTCAATATGTTCTCCGTTATTTTTCTGTGGCCCATGCTGGCCTAATGAAGTGTTTGGTTTCAACCACAACGTTGCTGAGATATTTGCAAAACTCTGGACCGCAGGTGTCTATGGTGGGGAACGAACGCGCTATTATCCTTTCCGGGGAGTAACGCGTTCACCACCACACCGTGACCGCGTGACACCTGCGGTCCAGAGTTTTGCAAATATCTCAGCAACGTTGTGGTTGTATTTCGCTTAGTAACCTGCCATGAAAATTATAGAAGGCAGAAAACAAAACGTTAAACATTGTGTTTGGTTTCAATTTAAATTTATCTACTAGTTGTTCTTTCAAACAGATGCAGAGTGGTCTACCCGCCTCGCCAAAATATTCGCCCCTACTTGCTCCAAAAGAAATTAGGTACACCGTACCTGAACTCATAGAATCACCGTCTCTGCCGTTAGGCCATATCATGCAATTTTTTGTTGTGGATTGACGACCACATAGTTTTAAAGTGAAGAGGCTCTGAAGTAGACGAAACCGCCGAAACGTCAGCTGTAGCCGTCAGGATTAATAAATGTTGCAATACCAACCCCTTCTTTGCTGGTAAGGAAAGGCAGTGACTCACTATGAAGCTTCTCCAACGTTTCTACAAATTGTGATAGGTTGATATATTTATTTATACGATCTTATAAACTGATCTTCTTTAGCTGATGCGAGGTTGGTATAGGTCTTCGTTGTCCTTGCCGTTGTTGTTGTTTTGTTGCTGTTATTCTTCTTGGTCGATGGCTGACATTTCGGCGATTTCGTCTTCCTCAGGGCCGTGATGTTACGAGTCCGACTCCACTCACTGGGACTTGTAACAGTACAGCTCTGAGGAAGGCGGAATGGACGAAACGTTAGCCATCAACCAACAAGAACAGCAACAACGAAAACAACAACGACAGGGACAACGAAAACCTATACCAACTTTGCATCAGCTAAAGAAGATCAGTTTATAAGATCATACAAATAAATATATCAACTATCTATCTCGAGGTTTATAGAAAGTCGGTCTTTTGAGTTATAATGTGGTAATCTTAACCGTTTTATTTACTGCTTACTATTTTTAATGGCAGGGTATAATGCGAAATATAACTTAAACGATGCTGAGATATTTGCAAAACACCGGACCGCAGGTGTCTGCGGTGGGGAATATATCAAATATCTCAGCATCATTGATATTATGTGATAGGTTGATTAGTTAGTGAAGCGAAATATACTTATATTTTTCTGATTTGAAAGCATTCTATATTTTATAGTCAGGCGAAAACTGTAGTAGATCGCTGGTATTAGTTTAGGTTCTCATCTTCTATTCCTCTTATAAACATCGGAAGACAATGGTAATGATGGTTTATAATTTTTGAGTCGTCTTCCTATTCATTTCTGCCTTGAATCGACCACCTTTGTTAACCTCTTCTCTACCACGCTTTCTTTCGTTTGGACGACCCACAGGACCACAGCTAGTTTTCGACTAATACGAAGTTTCTGAGGTTTTGACAATAAACAGCATTTTTCGCTAACTAAAAGAGAAGTGTAGCGCAGTGGTTGGAAGTGCCTTGCGATACACATGGGATCTATCCGCACACCCCGGGCTCACCAAGCCTTCCATCCCTCCGGAGTCGGCAAAGTGTTACCAGACTTGTCTTCGAGGATAGCAGCACTGGCTTGATAAATCGGTAGTCATCGTAATGGCCAAAAATGCATTCAATCACCTCCAACGGTGCTTAATGAAGTTGGATGCCTGGCGCACCCCTTAAGGATTGACCGACGCCGAGAGCTTTATCTTTTTTATCTAAGTAAAGGAGCTTAGAAGATTCGAGAGGCTGTGAATATGAATGATTTCAAAAAGGACTTCGTTCTATCGCTGTATGAGTATGAATCGCATTGTATGCTACTGTTTACTATATGTTGAAATGGTCCATTATACAAACGCAATACTGCTAGCATTTGGAAGTGTTTTGCAACGTACGCTGTGTCTGTTTCAATACTTTTTATAGCTGAACGTGCTATACAATAAGCATGATTTGCTATAAAGGATAAAGCTCTCTCCATTGCTCACTCCTTGAGGGATGCGCGATGTATTCGGCTTCATTGAGGATCGTGCGGAGATGATTGATTGCATATCTGGCCTTTACTCATGACTCGCGGTGGCCTACCGATGTGTCGAACCAGTGCTGCCATCCTCCTAAACAAATCTACTAACAATTCAGCGACCTCAGATGGATGAAAGGCTTGGTGGGCCATGAGCGCGGGATCGATTCCACGTGTATGTTGTAGAGCGTGTCCAGGCACTGCGCCACACGCGCCCGCTATTTACTATAGCAATTGGAATTGGGATAGCAGTCGATTACCACCGAAATTTCTGGTCAATGAACTCGTTTGAAGGCGGTTTTCATACATTTCTAAGTTCATAACAGAGTCTCTAAAAGGAGGAACTCATCCAGCGCTCAACACAAAATCTGTGTTCTACAAGATATCGATTGACCACGAAAAGTGTATTAGAAAAGATCTGCGCTGTGACCTTTTAATAAACCAGAGAAAATCGTGCGCATTAAAATCAATACGAACGGTCGGTGGTATGCTCCAGAAATTGTATCGAAATCAATGCGCGCGATAGCTTAAGGCTTGAAACAATTTTTAAGGCAACAGTTGTAGGCTTATTATTTTTGGCTATTTTTTTGCGAATTTTCCCTCTGTCACGGTGTTTGTTTTCTCATCCAGGTATCTTCCATTTTCAATTCTGGAGATATGGACAGTGGATCGATGTCGTGATCGACGACCGACTACCGACAGTCGATGGACGACTTTACTACATGCACTCGCATGAGAATAATGAATTTTGGAGTGCTTTGTTGGAAAAGGCATATGCTAAGTAAGTAGTCGGCAAAGTCAGTAATGCTTACAGAACTTTCAACTTTTGTCTTTCTGGGAACAGACATCAGCGCCCAATCAGCTTTGGTGTTTTGGAATCACTGTAAGATTACGGTGCCACAAAATACGGTGAACCAAGTTTGATTATTTTCGGTGTATTCATAGTTATTTATAGTAAGAGTCCTCACATTCTTGCGGGAAGGTGAAACAAATCAGTACACATTCTTATATTAGATTGACAAGCTATTAAATTTCACTGATAGGTGAATAACACCGAGTTGCCAACGTTGCAGTGCCTTTTAGAGTATTTAGTGACTCGTTAGCTAAGAGGATGCCCTAGTTTCTTGACTCTCCTACGGTCTCGATCGTGGACGTTTCAACGAAAATTTGATCTTTTGGATTCAATTTTACAAAGGGTTTACTTAGGCTCATGTAACTTATACCATATAATATCATTGTATAAAAATCATTTTAGATTATACGGATCTTATGAGAATCTCGAAGGCGGCACCACAGCCGAAGCACTTGAAGATTTCACTGGTGGTCTCACAGAATTCTATGATTTGCGCAAAACGGATAAGTCAACAGTTCTTGCCATGATGATCAGAGGATTCCAAATGGGATCGCTGTTCGGCTGCAGTATTGAAGTAAGCTATTTAGTCCTTTTTTAGACTATAATAATACGCTTTCACATATAGTTAGCTTATCTACTTAACTAGATCTCAGAATCTAGAATATCGATCGATAATCGATCGACCGGTATTATAATCGATCTTGGATTAGATCGGGTCTTCCTAGCTGATAATTTACCATACCCAATATGTTAACATGGAGGTTCGTCAAGGTACCAAACTTTGTTGGTGTTTAGATCATTTGTTTTATTTCTATACAATTATGTTTATGCAACGATTCCTCACCGACGTCGATAAGCATAAAACTGTTATATGTGACAACAGGGGTTCATATCTGGAGGGCAACCTTGACTGAAAAGTTTGATGCTTCCACTCGGTTGTCCAGTTCGGTGCAAACCTTTGAAAGGGATCGCTGCCATGATGGATGAAAGCTGCTCACAAAATGGCGTTCCTTAGTCCAATATTCAAGGTCTCGGGAATCCTATTAAAAAAGGAATTGCTTATTCAACCAGCGAACAGATGGGCTTCGAACTCGCAATTAACCTTTTCGGAAGCTCACGCGCCGTGCACAACGTCAACCGAGGCCTCTGGTTTCCTTGCTTTCGGTCAGTTTTTTTTTTTACTATAACGGTGCCACGTGCAATCACCCGTCAATGGGAAGGCAAAGCAAAGGTCTCGGTTGGTATCATGGATAGCGCTTGAACCTCCTGAAAGGCTATTCGCTGGTTCGAAGCCAATCTAAGGCTCCGAGGTTCCGAAGGGCTCAAAATAGCACTCAAATTGAAATTGAGCTCTGACTTTTCAAATCCATTAAAGTAGGTAATTTAGAGAAGATGTGACAATGGACCGTTCGTTAAGATGTACAGTGATGCGTGTTAAACTCCTATGTTGGTTGAATAGCGATGAAAAATCGTATTAAGAACCATTTAGTTTCCCATGGATCGTCAAATTTAACGGTCAATTTGTCATCATGGGATAATTATACTTCGTTAACTCCATTTCAAAAAGCGTATTTTTTATCCTGACATTGTGCCTGTTTCCTTTACTCTTTCTGTATATGTTTCTTTATTTTCATCTAACCTAGTTTTGGTGTAAGATTATTAATGCCTAGGCGGATCCGAATCAGAAAGAGGCACCGCTGGATAACGGCCTTGTTCGAGGACATGCATACAGTATCACTGCTCTTCACACTGTTGCCAGTCGGAATGGAGAGATTCCTATTGTCCGAATAAGAAATCCGTGGGGAAACAGTAAGGTATTCTTGTTTAATTCTGCTATCATCCACTACTTTAATGCACTATCAAAGATTAACCTTATTTGTCGTTTCAAAGGAGTGGAATGGTGCATGGAGTGATGGGTCGCCAGAGTGGGACGACGTAGACGATCAAAAGCGCTCAGAGTTGGGTGTCGATTTTGCAAAAGACGGAGAATTTTGGTTGGATTTTAGTCAGTACTGTTTCTGAGCAATATTCTGATATAAATACTATTCATTGCTGCCACACTGTCACAGTTAGCGAGACCCTACAGTAAGTTCTGGTGAACAAATGCCTTTATCGTCTGTAATCATCTTAAAACTCGAACTAATAAGGTCTCCATTTCTCCCTTCGCTGAAAGAAAAATCACAGCATTTTTACCATGTTCTTTATATTAACATTTTTGACAACAAGGCAGCCGACTGTAGTTTTCTGGATATAGCCATGAGGACTGAATGCTCACGGGTAACTTGGTGGGTTTGCCTGGAATAGATATGAAAGCTATTTGTTGGTGGCGACATTGAATCGTCTGCCACTTATTCATCAGTCATCATCAGATCGCAGGAATTTCACCGAATCAACGTATTGGATGCAGTGATTGTCCATGAGCATGTACGTTTTGGCTATAAATGGTTAAGATTACATCGCATGTTGAAGAATAAGTAAGATTGATGCACAAACAACAAATACACGTTCTTTGGTTCTTCGTGGTTCTTTGGACCCACGTTCGTCTAGGAGTAACCCTTGGCCTTACGATAGCTACTCCATGCGAGTAGGGAATAGTTTTGAAATTCGTGTGCAATAAATTAGATGTGATAAAGAAGTAATAAAATGAGTTTACTATTCCAGGATGTCGTTCGACGATTTCTATTCCAATTTTATGCAAATGGAGATTTGCAATCTCTCAGCAGCTGTGATGAACGAGGTCTCAGAAATGACTGGAGTGCGTGAACAAAAGGCTATAGCGTTCGAGTTTTAATTTTCCTTTCCACATCTTTTTTCATGTTGGTGTGCTTCAGGTGAGCGTCGCTGAACATCAACATCATCAGTGGGAAGAGAGGTCAGAGGACGGTGAATGGAGCACCAAAAGGGGAACTGCCGGTGGCTGCGCAAACAATCCTGGTAAAAAACAAATCCTCATTCTGGAAATAAAACTTGTGAAGAAGATTAAAAGTTTCCCAATGTAGTAAATCCAGTACTTAATCATCATCATGTGACGTATGTTCCAGTTGTTTTTTGATTCGTTTCGTTGTTTCGTCATAAATAGAGGTGCTCAGATTGTTTCCGTTGCAGCTTGAGGATTTACCGTCAGCTCTCTTCACCGATGTCGTTAAGGCTGCTTGAACGTGGATTTCCCTTGGAAACCAAAGTAGCTTACCGAGGTGCTCTCATATCTTCACCAGAAGCAACGTCTAGCCGTAATGGACCGGGAGAAGTGTGTTGTATTCCGACTATTAGGGTTCATCCGCGGTTGCATCGGTTTTCGCATTTGACACATCTGCCCACCGAATGTGAGAGAGCTTCTCCGAATAAAGTTCGATGCCAATTTTTTGCCAATTCTGTAGTGATAAAGGTTTTAGTCTTACTTGACCTCGAGTCATCTCTGACTATTAGGTACACGTGTTTTGCACCGCGGCCGTCGTCGGTGTGCTTCCGGCGCCACCTTTTCAGAATTGCCCAGTGGTTAAATTTGTCAGTGGTTTTCCCACATGATGTTTGTTAATTAAAATGATTTTTGGTTTCAGATACTTATGCCCAGAATCCGCAATATGGTTCGTATTTCGTTGTTACTGAGGATTCTGTAGAGCATGACGGAAAGTGCACAGTAATTGTCGCTGTACTGCAAAAGTATCGTCGTGAAATGCGAACAATCGGAAAAGACAGTCTGCCTATAGGATTTGCCGTGTACGAGGCATGTCGCCCTTTGTCGTTTCAGCATTCTTTCTGTTCTTTTCTGCTCATTTTCGTTACATTGCTACGATTTCCTCTTTTCCTGGAGCTGCTCATGGGAAGTTATTTCGGTTCTTTTGGTACAAATTGTTTTCCAGTGTGACAAATCTGAATAGTGTTTCCTCAGGTCCAATTGATTTTTTCTTTCTTTTTTCTAGAGGTTTTCTGAGCAAAAGTGATAGTAATGGTGATACGAATATCACCATCACGATATGAGGTCAGAGCAGCGTTTGGCTTTTCCGGGGATCGGGGAACCTACTAGGAGTTAACTACTACCACGAACGACCACAGTCCTGGTATCAAAGGCGCATGGTGGCAAATCTCCCTCTTATCCACAAAGGATACGACTGCCTGTGGTGGTGACGACCCAGGGCACACCTTGGCCAGACTGACTCCGGGATCCTAGGGAACCACAGTGGGTCAACCAGCAAGTCTCCAAAGAGGAAAAAAGGGAAAATGGAGATTGTGCTGGCGCCCGCTAGTGACGATGTGCCGTCCAAGTATCCAAGTAATATGAGGTAATAGTAATCCAAGTAATATCATTGGCGTTCAAGTAAAATATGAGAAAATTAAGACGATCAAAAAATTTCATTATGGAACACACGCAGATTTATCCAATATTTTTTGTATATCTTTGTTGTTGTTGTATTTCATCGTTTTTCTTTGGACATTTTTTGGAGAACAATTTTTTGTTCAAAGGATTTTTTATGGACTGAGAACCTTGTTTTTGTACAGGCACTAGATAAGCGTTATAAGAATTGAAGAAAATAACATCAATTCCTTCAGTTTTTTCACTTTTTGTTTTTTTTCTCAAGAGTGGATTTCATCTTTGGTTTTCCAGATGGGGTCAGCATTGCAAGGAGCGCTCGGCGCTGATTTTCTACTCGGTCGCAAGCCGACGGCCCGCACTCGCGTGTTCATCAACATGAGAGAGGTAGCTGTTCTGTCTCGCCATGTTTCTCCATGGGCAGTCGAAACTGTTCTTAAGTTTTTCTTTGTTCTTGTCTTAATTGAATATTTGTGATGAATTTTCAGTCTGAGTAGATATTGCACTGATTTTTGACATTTAAAATTTCACCCAGTCTTCTTTAAAGGTAATCATTAACACTTATCTTGTACGAGGTTGTTATACAACTTTCCATCCTATGTAAAGGAGGATGAGGTTGCCTCATTCGAACGGTGCTTTGCTGAAGAAGATTCGACTCGATACGACGACGAAGACACCACATCGAGAAGCCGAAGTGCTGTGGATGTCGACTTGGATCATCGGCTCTGAAGAAGATGGAGAAGTCGAAACGTTAGCGGAACAAATATTTGGTAACAACCTCGTGTAAGCTGAGCAAAGGAAACGTGAGAGTTGGTGTAGTTGAGCATTCATCCTCAGTAAAAAAATTCATCATAATCATTCCAAACAAATTTTCACCTGGACATTAATCTAATGCATTCCCTTTCTATCTATAATTATTTGGCTAAATTCCATGGTCATTCGTGCCTTATCAATTTTGTTTCCGGGCTTGAAAATGCTCTTTTTTAAAGAACTTATCCCGTTTCCATTATTATGAAGCTGAAACTCTGGAGCTGTCGGCGTTGAGCAATTCCTGAGAGATGCGCCATGCATTCGACTTCATTAAGTATTTCTGGAAGTGATTGAATGCATATCTGGCCTTTACAATGGCTTGTGGTGGCCTGCCGATGCATCGAGCCAGTGGTGCTATCCTCGCAAACAAATCTGGTACCAATTTGCCGATCACGGAGGAATGGAAGGTTTAGTGAGTCATGGGTGTGGAGATCGATTCTGCGTGTGTCGCAGTGGCCCCTCCAACCACTGCTTCACACGCGCCCCTTCTATTATTATATTCCTTCGAAATGCCGGTGCCTCGCGGATTTCATAATCTTCTCCGGATATGATGAAATCTTAGTGTCAAGTAATAGATATTTTATCCATGGTTTTATTTTTTCCATTACTTCCATTTTTTTTTCCATTTTATACATCACTTCTACTCTGTTACTCTATTTTGCGCCTTCATTGCACTTCTCTAGGTGACATGCCGTTTTCGAGTTCCAGCTGGTCACTACGTCATTCTGCCATGTACTTTTGAACCAAATTCTGATGGTGAATTTCTTTTGCGTATCTTCGTTAACGGAAGACTTCAGACCAGGTATCATTGTTAACTTCTATCCCGTTGCTGAATGCATTCGCTTGATTTCTGTTTTACTACCATCTTTTTTTTTGTGTTTTAGCCGGCTAAAGTAAGCTCGAGGTGCGCCAACGCTAACAGTGTTCTTTCGAATCTTTGGTGATGGATGAAGACCCATGAACTTTTCACAAGTGCTTCTTATTAATGGTGCATGAATTTAAAATTGATCAATAAAGAGATAAACATCAAAACTTGTATTTCCTTGAACTGTTCAGCTTACACGATTCAAAATTTATAATTTTAATCGTAAATAGGACGATTCAGGACACATAAAAGCTAGTAACTCTCGGCGTTGATCAATCCATGACTATTGACTATGCATATTTGACCTTCATGATCACTCGTGGTGGCGTAAGGACGTATAGAGTCGGTGCTGCTATCCACCCAGGCAGAGCTACTACCAATTTGTTGATCCAGTAGGGAAGGAGGGCTTGGTGTTCCTAGGAGTTGGGGATCGATCCCATATGTATTGCAGGGCCTGTCCGACCACTGCGCTACACACACGTAGAAGGCACATGTTTAATACACTTATAGAATTTTGTGGGGTTCGTGTAGAGTAATGGAATTGGTATGCGTGCAGAAACGTCCGCCGTTGTAAATGAATAAACGCTGTAATAACAACCTCACGAACGGTAATCAGGAAGGTAGAACGTAAACACAACTTGAGCGTTCTCATATTAAGTAATTCTTCGTATTTTTGTTGAGCAAACGCGAGGTGTTATTATTCTTTATTCACAAATGAGCTGACGTTTCGGCGGATTTCGCCTTCCTCAGAGCCTGGAAAGGTCAAGTTGACAGCAA